AGCAGTTTAAGGGCATGTCTGCAGTCACCGAAGGGAAGAATAATGTTTAGTTTAAAACAAAGTCACAAAATTAAGTATAAAGTTCAATGCTGACCACTTACATTTTAGTGCCCTTATCTGGTCACCACATCAACTATGTTTCAGTATACAACCGGTAATGTTTGTGTCTAGCATATAACAAATTGGCCTGACAGTTAACTACATTACTTATCAGTTTAAGATAAGCTGATATTTGTATTTGTGTAAGAAAAAAATAGTCTTAATGATAAAAAATTGCACAAAACCAGGAAGCTGCAGAAATAAAAAAATCAACTGCACAGACTAAGGTAGGATATTCCATTGCTGTAACGAGTTACCACCTATTAAAATCTAGGCTTCCTGGATTTACAGATTAATTCTTCAGACCTGCCTCAGCCTAAAGGAGTGAGGTGGAAATACGAAATAAGCCAAAACACAAGTAAACCCTTTTTACCTCTCAAACCCCAACATTACCCTTAGCATGAGGATTCCTCTGGACTGGGCTCTGCACAAATTGAAGAATTCCCTCTACTCCAAAACCTGCTGGGGAAATCTACTGGGACTGTGGCAGCTGTCATGAAGCTGCCATTCCCAGGGCAGTGACGGCACCCCATAATGTTACTGCTGTAAAAATTCTGCCACTTTCTAACCTTACAGTAGTTCTGAAACTGCTGATAGTAAGGTGTCAGGCTGAACTAAAGATTCCACTGGTTGAGTCACCTAGTGCTGAACAGAACAGTGAACACTGGCTTTCTCTTCATCTTCCATAAGAGCCTGCTCCAGCTTCAGGGCCAGACTCCACCTGGGGTGAAACTTCCAAGTAACTTAATAGAAAGGCCACAGATTTGCAGTCTTGTTAAAAAAGATACTTTTGATTTATTTCCACCATGTAAATCATTGCCCACTAATATGGCTCCAGCTTAAACTGCTGACTTCTAGCCTTAAAAGACAAATCATTCTCTGATTTCTTGCATGTTCTTCTCTGCTTGAACTTCAGTTGGGCTATTGATCCTGCCACCTTTTGGGGATGAGGAGAAACCCTCATTCCTATGTGAGCATTCTCAGGCACATCCATGGTTTCTAACACATCCATAACCCTTGTGTCTTTGCTGCCACATGGATCTCCATCCTCTACCTCCACCGAGATGGCAGACTGAAGGATCTCGCTATCACACCATCCCTTGAATATTGGCGAGCCGCCCAAAGGCTTATTTCTAGCAAGCCTGGTTTTATGCCTTTCCCCCTTCAAATCTAGTCTAAAGCTCTTTTAATAAGCCCTGCTATCTCCTGTGCAAAGATCTTTTTCCCCCTTTGAAACAGGTGTACCTTGTCTGTTGCCAGCATGCCTGGTGTCATGTAGACTGACCCATGATGAAAAAACCCCAAAATTTTGCTGCTGACACCAGGCTCGGAGCCAGGTATTGATCTGTTGGCTTCTTCATGATGAGGGTGTCTTCCCTCATCATTCCCTACAGCTGGAAGGATAGAGAAGAACACTACTTGTGCTCCCGATCCCTTAACCAGTTGTCCCAAGGCCCTGAAGTCTCCCTTGATTGCCCTTGGACTTCTTATTGCAACCTCATCGCTACCTACCTGAAAAATCAGTAATGGGGAGTGATCTGAGGGCCGTACCAGGGTAGGAAGCTTGTCTGTATGTCTATTGGACACTGTACCCTCTGTAGAAAATCTGCTACAACTTTCAGGATGACAAGATCAGAAAATAATTGGGTGCATTCAGCAAAGGTTTAGACATGCACTTAAACTGTGAAAAGTTGTTCTGTCATCGAGAGCTGTTAGTATTGATCAGAGAGGTAAGCTTCTTTCAGAGTTTGCTGCATATCACTGACTTGCAGTCTTAAGGGAATCATCATTATGAGCTGGTTTGCAGAATGCTGTACCGATCTCCACACATACACCTGAAATACACATCCTTCTATATTCAAAAAGCCAAGCACTACCATAAAAGCACATAAAGAAAAAGCAGAGAGGAGGATAAATAAATCCAGACAGATACTCACCTTGAGGAAGCTGCATAACCCCAGTGCTTATACCTGAGATAATGTCTCCTAATAAGTATTCCTTCACTGGGTAACGGGGAAGCCATTTTAAAATTGGTAAGAAACTGTAAAGATGAGACTTGGCTTTCTTAGAAGAACAACTGAAAATACAAAGCAGAAAGAAAAAGTTAGACACCAGTAGGGGACAAATGGGTTGAAAAAATTGCCTTTCATCCCTATGCAGGGCAACAGCACCACTAAAAGCAGGCTCAGACCCCCGATGACAGTAATTTCCCAACAAAGCTTAAGCACAAACAACTATGATTCCAATTAATTTAGCCCTTTATCACATGTTGGTTGCTGTTCACAAACGTTATGGAACTGGAGAAGAGAATCAGAGTCTTGTGAGGCTGGAGGTCAGTGGGAAGTGAAACTGTTCAAGTCCATGCACAACTGAGCAGTCACACAACACTTTTTGCTGAGATCATTCCTAGTAACAATCCCCTGAGGATAACTTGCTATCTGATAGCGGTTTTAACTCAAAGTACTTTGCAATGCTCTTTGCTATTTTATTTACTATTTGTGTGCTTTATGCTTTTTTGATTATAACATTTCATATTATTATGCTTTTTAAAAAAACTATTATTTTGCTAATGACTTTTACTATCACTGGCACTGACAGGCTAACTTTAAGGCTACTTGAGAACATAACCCTTCTTTACCCTGATAGGAAAGGCACGGAAGCCAGCAACACTGATCCTTGTGTCTCTTTGCAGAGCTATTAACCTTTTGAAACCCTGACTCATGACAAATGAACAGAGCCAGGAAATAACTATCCAGTACTGCCATGCATCATACTTTGATTGTACTGTGGTAAGAAAGCTTAACCTTGGGTAAAAATGTAACACCAGGATCATATAAATGCTCTTCTGTGTAGGGGAACTGCAAGAGAACCGCAGAGATTTGTTAACATTTCTGAATACTCACAGGACTAAATTGCATAGTGAAGCAGCTTATTGCTACAAGTGAAAGAGGAACTCGAGTTATCCACACTTTTCCATGATTAAGCAGATCGAATCACAAGAAGTCATAGCTCAGGAGGCTTTTGATCCATGTTTTTTATGCAGGACAGATAAGTTTTTTTAAAGTGGAATTAGGTGGCACTACCATTAGAATGGTCATTCCATTAACCAAAACAAATCTTCAAATGTCAAATCGTGTGAACAGGAATATTTTATAGTCAAGCAGAAATCATTCACTGTCTTGCAGAACAAGGTTCTAGCAAGAAACTGAATCAAATCTGCAAATGAAGCATGGATAAATGTAAGGCTAATGAGAACTTAATTAGAGTAAGTTTCTCTTCACTATCCTCTGGTACCACAGAGCAAGAGTTGCACAATTAAAGACATTTCCTGTCTAACCAGATGATACTTAGATTCCAAGGCAGTTAGCCAAAAGCTACAGAATGCCTCTATTAAGTCCTTATTAGACTAATAATTTAGATTTCTGCACAGCTGTCATACATCTCTATTCTTTTTTCCATGAAAGCATCATGTGAAGCACAAATTTGGCCGTAAGTATTTGCATGTAAAAAGGACAGATATTATTCTGGGTCGTATGAACTCGTGTCACATGATTTGACTAATACTTCACATTCCTATGTTGCATATTTTTCCTTTGCACTTTGATGAAGGCAATTCAACTAATTTATCCAACATTTTGTAATATAGTTATGTGTTAACAAATAAAAATACGTATGCAACTTCATCACAGTCTTGCTGAATAATCAAAGTAGAACTAGTGGTTTTGTCTTTTAGGTTTCTTTTAAGAGATTACCATCTATGTGCATGAATCAATTAAGAATTAGAGTTTTTCTAACCAATAAAATAAAGATAGGACAAAAAACCCTACCGACAAGAATGTGCAATCTTCTGCCTTAAAGTCTGAGGTGTTCTTTCTCGTCTGTGCAGCTGTCCTTGCAAGAGCTCTTGGTTATATATTGGTCTCTCCACACAGTACCTCCGGGTTTGCTCAAGACATGCTTCATGTTCTTGAGTGTGTTCCATAGTTGATCTCACGGAGCAGGAGCCAAGGAAGAACAGTCCCACAGTCTCCACTGAAAAACCTGGTTGCAGACAAAGTAAGTTTGGTTACTTTTTTAACCTCAGATTTGGCATTTCCTTTCAAAGAACGTATTTTGACAAGCTAGAGACAAGAACTGTGAATGCAGTTTAAAAGCACTAATTAGATAGTCTGGAACAGCAGTAAGTAAATAAACCACAGTCACAATCTTTACTACATGGAAGCCATTAATTTATGCTTCTCTTAGGTAAAGAAAGCTTTTGCATTAATTACTCTGTAAATAGTTGCAGAAACAAAATTGGAAGGTTATATTCATGCTTATCTGGATTTTCCCTCAGTTTTTAAAGGAAATGTCAGTGTCGACAGGAGATTACTTTATTGCTGAGTTACTTCCTGCTTACTCACAAACTGTCATGTCCATCTCCAAAAGACAGAACCCCAATTTTAACACCAAGAAAGCCACTTCTTTCTTCCAGATAGCCAGTTGCTTCCTGCATGCACCTACCTGCTTTCTCCTCCATTTCAGAGGCTTCTTTTTCCAGACTCAAGGATGCACAATTCACTACTTTCAAAACATTAATTCTTTCAATGGATGTGCCACTTACTGCTATTCTCAGTCCTGCACCCACTAAAACAGGAGTCAGAAGATGTACACAATTTTAAAACTAGCCAGAATGTTTGTAAACATCTATTTGTCTGTCTGATTCAGTGCCATAAATATCTTAACATCTTTAGGAGATACTCTGTTAATTCCTTTGCCCCATGTTGGCTGCTTCTAGAAATCTGGGGCAAGAAGCATAACTCCAAATTATAAGCAAAATGACAGGACTGCTATATCGTTAATCAGAGATGCTGGCTAGCACTGCATTTGATGACAGAACGTGAGTGCAATGGGAAACAGAGCCATAATTGTGAACAAGGCCCTTGGGCTCAAGTCCAGCAAGTCACTTAAGCATGTGTTTGCCTTCAACCAAGGGAGCTAACCCAGAGGTGTTTAGTTTTTAGCTATACATCAATACTTTCCTAGAAAAGGGTTACCATGCAGATATTAAACAAATTGCCACCTAAACACTCTGACAAAGCTAATCACGATTGGTCCAACCTTCAGATTCAGCAAATACAGTCTGTCTGGCAGCAAAATACTAATATTGCTACCAAAGCCTTCAGTTTGATGAAGGTGCTGGAATTTTCCACTCGGGGATCGCTGTTCTCCATCTCCTAGGACAGGCACAGCCTAGCAACTCTTTACTTCTCATTATTTTGTAAGCAACAGTTTCC